TTCAAGCATGGGTTTATTTAGAGTTTTATTGTTTGCACCCTTAGCAATAATTGATATTATACTTTGCAAAAGAAAACGAGACTCACACATCATGAGAGCTCGATAGGCGATAGGTAGTGCTACAGTAAACCATCTCTCTCGACCCTCTACCCCATCGATTCTAGAGGCTCGCTGCTGACAACAGCCAGAACAGGTGTGGGTATCCTTTAGCTTTAGGTTTAGTGTTTTTAGGTTTCCTATGCCGGGCGCCTTGTCCTATTTTGGATCTGCTGATGTCTCCATTGTGTGGAGGGGTGGCAGCTCTACTAGAGATGGATTGCTGGTGGTGGTCTAGGCAGTTGTGGTTGGAGGGAGTTTCTTTGGTGGCTGTGCTCGTGGTGGCAGCTGTGGGTGGAGTTGGCCACACGGCGCTTGAGGCAGTGCAGACGACAGCAGTTACTGGTAGAAGCTAGGTCTGCTAGCTCGTGCTGCTAGAGGCCTGGAATTACAGTCTTGGCTCAATCGACTTCTTTGGTCTCCCTGTCCCCTTCTTCATACTCCACGCCAAAATGTTCTCCCCTTGTCCAGTCCTCGTGGCGATGCTTGCCCAGTGCGGCAGCTTCAGCAAGGTTGTGGTTTGCTTGCTGGACGACCCCCTTGTCTGGTGGCTTACTTGGCGGCAGTGGCCATTGTTCACGAGGGCAGCGAGTTTGGAGAAGTGAGCATTGTTCCTCATTGTGTCGGTTGTCTTATGTGACCATTCAAGCAAAGGTGGCTCTTGTCTTTGCTTTGCTGGCTGGTTTGGCAACAACGATCTAAGGTCATGGGGGCAGCTGTGAAGCATTTCCAAGTCATCCTTTCCTCTAACTCCACTGCTATGTTTTTTTTTAAGAGAACATAGCAGGGGAGGCCCCGCTGTTAGATTAATTTTATTAATAGAATTAAAAAATTACAAAGAGAATAAAACAGACGGATCCAGTCCCTGACTAAATATTGATCTTGTGCATTGAGCCTAAACAGCAAAAGAAGCAAATCTCCCTTAAGAAGTTGCTTCCAGGAAGAGAACAAAGGCAATTTATCCTCAAAAATGGCCTATGTTCAGCCTAGCAATCCATGTCGGTCTAGTGAGGCAGAAGTTTACTAACCACCATCCTATGGCTTTCAGGATTCAGGTTGGCTGGACATCAAAGATGTCTCTTGATTCCGTTGATTACAGCAGTATCTGTGCTAGGTCCTCCATTCAGGTTGAACGCAGTCTGCCCATGCGGCTTTTGTTGTTAGGTTCGCAGTTAGTGCTGCTCAGATTTATCGAGAAACTGTGCAGTAATCTGTTATTGAGTCCGGAGAAGCCTACTTGAAATCTACGACTTAAGGGGAAAAAAACATCAAATTGTGCCGCTCTAGTGGAGGCTGCCGAAGGGGATGCTAGATTATCAAGCAGTCTGCACATGCTTGCAGCATAGGCATCTGAATGTGGATGTAGTCATCCCGTCAATGCCGCTGCCCCCAGTCAATCTTATTCTTTTCTGCTGCCGTATGTTTTCAGTTGCAGCATTGTTATAGGTAGTGCACTCACCCTTTCACATGAAACACGTGAAAAGGATGGTTATGCTCTATATGATGCTTTCCTCCAGGCAATGTACCAGGGATTTATTCCCTTAACTCTATCTTTAATAAATTTCTTATGTTTTTAGAAAAAAAAATATATGTTGCCTCTCCCACCTTTGGCGATTCCTAACATCCTTTTATTTCTTTCCATAGCTGAAGATGGCGACTCTGACTATTCAGCTACACTAAAGGAGGCGAGACAAAAGAAGGCCAATCGCATGAAGACTTCTCAAAAGGCAAAGAAGTAATGGCCTCAACCACTGTCGTCCTAGAGGGAGGCCCCCAAAACGAGGAAATGCAAGAAAGTGAACAAGTTGCATTGCAAAAAACAAGCATCACTATTATACCAAAGTGGCCAAGTGGGAGGGTGCCAAAAATCAGAACTAGCTCAAACTAAAGAAATCATCAAAGGAAGTGTGTTGTGTCTTTACAAATCATTTTCCATTAAATGGTGAACTTGTTAATCATTCTCTATGAAAAAAAAATGTGGCAGACATATTTTGAACTAACTTGACCCAAACAGTTTGATGGTTAATGTATGCTTGTTTAATTCCGTTGTCCAAATTATCAATATCAATTTTTTGAATTGGAATTCACAATGCTGGTTAATTTATACTTGTGACGTAAAGATTATTTTTGAAAATCAGACTTTATGGCCTACGTTTTTTCTAAAAGAAATCATAGCAAGGAAGTCCACTGCTGTTAAATAGACTTTCATTAATGAAAGAAACAAGTATAGGAAAAAAGAAAAAAAATACAACAATTTAATCTAGCTCAAAACTACATCCTTATCTCTCTTGTTCAAGTTGTCTCCAAGAAAACAAGGAAGGATGAGTATGTTCAAAAATAAAACAATTCCTTTGCTTCCAAATGTTCCATGACCCAAATAAGAATTTCTCCATAAATTAATGACCATGGTATATATCTCTGGCATCCACCATCATGCTATCCAGTGTCAAAGAGGTATCCCAAAACAATACCTAAAACATTCTATCATCTCACCGAGAAAGGGCATTGGAAAAGATGATTAAGATCTTCCAAGGATTGAGATGAACAAAGCACAAATATATGCCCATGTATCATTTTCATGTGACAAGCTTACCTCTTCAGGCAAAACTGACTAAGACTTAAACTCAAGATAAGCTTCTTGATACAGGGGCAGGTAAAAAATTATCTTCCACCTGAATTGAAAGAAAATTGTAAACTAAGATCTTTTCATTCAAAGCAAAAGAAGACAGACTTGGCATACGGATAGAAAGAGGAGAAACATCATTCCAAACATCATTCCAAAAAGAGCATGAAACTCCATCTCCTTAAACATCTGGCAATGCCTCTAAAAAATCCATCAAATTACAAACATCCTTCCACCAAAAGACCCCTTGTCGATAATAAGAGGCCAAATAAGATTGACCCAAGGCAAATTCTTTCGATTATAGAACTTGTCCAGATACTTCAGAAGGAGAGCTTGGTTCTGAATTGTAAGATTGATAACCCTATACCCCCTTTTGTCTTAGGTTTCAAACCTTGTCCCACGCTGCCAATGACTTCTTATTGGAATTTACATCAGAACCTCTCTTGAGACAGTGCATTAGTGGTGTGAGATTAACTATTTACTAAAATCTCAACGGTTTGAACCTTTTCTTCCACCATTTTTCCTGAAATAATATATATATTTGTCAAGTGAAATAACTGTACCATTTGTATATCTATTGTCTCAGTACACAAAATGCATGTTCAGTGCAATTCTAGAATATAGTGTTGTGACCGCACCATTGGTGCTCAAGAATGTAAAAGAGAAATTAATGTGAGATTATGTACTGAATGAATGTGAGCATCGGATAAACCATTCTGTATGTTATATACAATGATATATGTAAATTCCAATATAATAAGGTTTTAACATAATGTCCTATATAACTAATTTGGCTTTCTTCAAAATAAACTGTGTACCTCATGTCATGGGCTTTGGGCCGGACGTCCTAGGTCCATTGGATAGGATTAGGGTTTTTTAGGATTAGATAAGGTTTGTTAGGATTAGATTAAGGAGTCCTCCATTTATATAAGGAGGGATCCTATCCCAGGTCAATTAGGCATTAGATCAAGATTTATCTTAGTGCCCATCGGTCTACCTTCTCAGTGCGACGGAGAGCGTCGCGCCGTTTAGCTTCAGGACCGTTCCTTGTTATTTCATCTACTATAATCCAATCTATCCCCATTCATCCCGATTCTTCTTCACATAATCTTTGCTCGTGACAATTTGGTATCAGAGCCTCGTTTCCGTGCCCATGGGTGCCGAGATCGCTGCGGTTCCCAGCATTAGCGAAGGTCTCGCCGAGATCTCGAAGAAGATGGTGAACTTGGCGGCGTAACTCCGGGCCTTGGCGGCTCAATCAACCGAGCCGACGGCTTTCCTTGAGGAGGCCGAACCATTATACCGGCATGCGGTGGCCTTGCGTCCGCGAGGGCACGTCTTCAAGCAACACAGATGGCAGCAACACTCGGCGGTGACGCTGCAACCACGCGGGGGCGGCGTGACTCGTGGCGAGGCGCTCATGTTTCCTCTTCCGGCGGTGCCAAGTCCGGGAGTGGCAGCGCAACCTCGACCTCGCCGCTGGGACTGGCGATGGCGCCGTCGCCATTGTCGCCCTCAACGGTGGCGAAGACGACGGCGACACAACACGACTTGGGTGTCCGGTTCTCAGGCGCGATTTCCAGGCGATGCGACACGGTTTCCGCAGTTGGTGGCGCAAATTCTGGCGACAATTGGAGCAAAGCCAGGCGGCGTGCGTGCGGCTCGAGTCGCGAGCGCGATGGGTGGGCGTGGCACTCGTGCGTCGCTATGGCGCAGATCACGCCGGGTCCGCGCGCTGGTTCGCGAAGCTCGCGGCTCGATCACGGCTGCATCGCTCCTGGTGGCGTGGCCTCGTGAAGGAAAAGAGGGTAAGTTTTTTGTTCTCTTCCAGTTGGGCTGCCTAGTCTGGTATGGGTGGTTTCCACGTTGGCCCATGAAGCATAGATGGTTCTTCCTCATGTTTTGGGCCATCCGAGTAAACAGCCTTCTTTGTTGTTGGGCTGGTCAAGTGAGTAGGGCTGTCTATAACAGTATTAGTTCTTTTGTTTTCTATAACAAGCCGAGATGTAAAAGGCTTGCGAGTCTTCGTTTTGGTTATGGTATTTCGTTTGAGTCTAGCAGGGTGTGCTGCAGCTCGAGGACGAGCTGCTTAAAAAGGGGGGAGTAATGTCATGGGCTTTGGGCCGGACATCCTAGGTCCATTGAATAGGATTAGGGTTTTTTAGGATTAGATAAGGTTTGTTAGGATTAGATTAAGGAGTCCTCCATTTATATAAGGAGGGATCCTATCCCAGGTCAATTAGGCATTAGATCAAGATTTATCTTAGTGCCCATCGGCCTACCTTCTCAGTGCGACGGAGAGCGTCGCGCCGTTTAGGTTCAGGACCGTTTCTTGTTATTTCATCTACTATAATCCAATCTATCCCCATTCATCCCGATTCTTCTTCACATAATCCTTGCTCGTGACACTCAGTACCTCACAGAAATAGGTGTGAAGTGTATTTAGTTTTGCTAAACCCAGTTTCATTTTATCAAATTAATTGATCGTCATAAAGTGTACTGAATTCTCTTGTTGCACAATTTGAACAGTTTATTTTTTTCAAGATATCAACCACTGTCTCCAAAATTGGTGTAAAAACGGTGAAACATTATAACTTCCTGGAAGAAGAAAAACATGCTATTGGTTGCAACAGCGATTTTGATACTTATTCCTTGCATAATGTAATGACTCTGTTAGAATATAATAGGAACTGATCATTTAACTGAACAGCCCTCTCTACTGCAAGTCTGCAACTATTTTACAGAGTGTTCTGTAGAGCATTAGAGCACTTTCTGACCGAGTAAACAGCATGACCAGATAATACTATGTACACAATATTACAGTTCCAGATGGCTTCCAGAATTATGTCGATGAAACTATATGAGCTGTATTATTCATCGCTAATCAATCAAAGTATTTGTCAGATCATTAAAAGAAGACTATCAACATGTCCTGAAATGGCAATTATAGAGTTTGCATTATAGAAACTGAGATACAACAAAAATGAGATACAACAAAAATTCATGCAGCGAAATAACACTTAGCTTGCATTAAGAAGTTTGCAAAAATAATGCATACCTTAACCAAAAAGCTTGTGCGTTTGGATTTCATCTAATTCAGAATGTTAAAAAGAAGCACCACCTCATTGAACAGACATCAGATGAAAGGCGAAGCATTCACGGCATAACTATCCAGCAATGGAAAGAATGCATGTTGAACAAGGCTTGGTTTCAGCTTCAGTCCAATAGTAAAGAGGCCATCACCATAATGTTGGAAACTCGCCAACAAGTTGCCCTCAGTGTCAATGTAAAATAGCCATCGATCACAGCTAACCAGCACAAGCACATCCCCCTCCTGGGATAAGACCATCGCACTCCAATGATAAGCCCCACCAAGCATCCCCCTGATCTCTGGAACAGGCAATTCCACCTGGTACTTGAGAGACCAGATCTCTCTCTTATAATCCTGCAGTACCCAGATATCTACAATTGTGCATCCATCATTAGAGCAGTACATGCCGAGCTTACCATCCATGTCAAACAGATTCCCGCTATCCAATGTGCACTTCATCCTGTCAGATGGAGCGCGCATCCATCGGAACGACTCGGCTGTGGTGTCAAACACCAAAATCATATCCTGGGACCTCTGGTACCAATGCAGGCTACAATGGAGCACAACAGTTGCGCCGCTCGCCGACGTCTCAGGCCACCCGATACACCTCGGGACGTCGCTGGAGCCCAATGTGTATACATAGCAGGTATTCCTATCGCCAGGAATCAGATGTTCACTCATCAGCTCCTGATTTCGGTATAGTAGCAGTCGGTAGTCCCCAGTAGGGGGATGCTTGTAGAACCCCATGACCATGAAGCCACAAAGCAGGTGGAGCGCACCGAATTGACGCGTGATTGGGTTGCAGATGAACCACCATATTCCACCGATGGAGAGCAAGAGGAGGCCATCGCAGGAGGCATCAGCGCTCATCATGTAGCAGGTGTCATCGAGCTGGGCGACGGGCTGGAGCCGGGCTGCAGCGGCGCGGCGGTCGAGCGAAACGATGCCTAGGAGGAACTCCTCGTTGCACTTGTATCTGTCGACGAGGGGGAGGGTGGGCTGGTGGCGGTGGTGGGTGAGGAGGAAGTCGCCGGTGGAGGTGAGACGGCGCCATGCGCGGCACACCTGGCGGCAGCGGAGGAGGGGTTTGGGGGGAAGCCGTACCAGGATCTCCCAGACGACGATCTCCTCCGGGAGGCCGCGACGGCGCGGCGGCAGCCCAGTTCTCGCAGCCTTCCCCATGGTCTCCGAATCGCCGGACGGACGCCGCAGGGAGTTTTCGCGGCGGCGGAGGGAGCGGTGTCGGCGGCGGAGCTGTGTATCTTTTTTTTTTTTCCTATTGCCGGCAGGATTTTCACTGGGCCTGCCTTTGCCCTTGGGCTTAGCATCTGCCATAACAAGAGCCCATTTACAGGATTTTAAAAAAGGAATAAGTTTATCTGAGTTCCCTTAACTTATCAACGAATCCGATTTTCGTGCTTCGACCGGAAAACCAGATACAACGGGTCCCTCAAATGTCAAAACCAGTACAGATGAGGTCCCTACATGGCTAATCTGACTTGTCTTTATCTGATGTGGCACTGACGTGGCGCTTACATGGTAATTCGATCCAAGAAAATAATAAACTTCGAGCATGTCAGTTTCACACATAAATTAATAAAAAATGGTGGGGCCCACATGGGCCCCACAAGTCCCTCTCGGTTCTCCCTCTTCTTCCTTTCGGCTCTCCCTCATCCTCGCTACAGAGCGGCGGCAGGAGCATGACAGCAGAGCGACGGCGGGGCGGAGGGGTGGGCGGAGCGGTAGGGCGGCGGTGGCGGCAGGCTGCTGGCGGAATAGAGGGGCGGGCTGAGCAGCGACGGTATGCAGGGCGACGTCGACGAGAAGTAGCTCCTGCTCCATGTCAAGCGTGCATGGGGTGACCCCACAGCGCTCTCGTCGTGGATGGACGTGACGCCGCACTGCTGCTGGATGTACGTGTCCTGCGACGGCAGCGACACCGGCAGTGTCATGTCACTGTCCCTCCCCAACGTCGCCATCACCGGCACCGTCCCCAACGAACTCACTGGGCCAATATTGGAGGTAGGTCTGCGACAACTTCATTATCACAGGGGAGTTAGGGAGAGAGGAGGAAGAAGAGGCGGGTAAGAATGACATGTGGGGCCCATGTGGGTCCCACTATTTTTAATATTTTCCAAATCAATTTGACACGTAAACGCCACGTCATTGCCTTGTCATATGAAAACTGAGTCAAAATAGCCATGTAGGCGCCACGTCAGGAAAACCGCCGTCCAAACCACCATGGGACCCATATTGCATCGGTTTCGACAGTTGAGAGACCCGTTGTATCTGGTTTTCTGGTTGAAGGACGAAAATCGGATTCGCTGACAAGTTAAGGACCTCAGATGAACTTATTCCTTTAATCGATTTAATCGGTAATTTATTCGATTCCCACGTGAAAATTGAATTTTGTAGGACTAAGAGGAGTTTGCCTTGCAGAGGAGAAAATCAAATTTAAGATCAATTTGGGAAATCCTAGAAAATCCACAACTTTGCCTCTCTTCCTTTTATTTTTTTCCTCCACCTCTTCCTCCCAATTCCTTGGCTTGTGTCCTTTCTGTTCCCTCTCTGCTCTTCCTGCCATCCGGTCGTTGGCTGCAGCAGCGATCCCATGGGAGCAGCTGGTCAGCACACACAGCAGTAGGAGAAATTGGAATCCAACACACAGCAGCAAAAATCCGATCAAGGAAACAAAAATCAAACCTGCTGCTCTACAATCAGCCACCACCAGGAGTAGGAGCAGGCCGACAGGAAGGGGCCGCAGACCGCGTCCTGCGGCTGCGTGGCAGCAGCGACGGCAGCAGCGTCGACGGTGCGCAGCATCGATTGGGGTCATGGCGGCTAGGGCTTGCAGTGGCTGGAAAGTTATCGATCTCTTCCTCTTTTTTTTCTCTTTCAGTTAAAAAATAGAGGAGCTCCAACGAAGATCGAACGCTCCATTAATTCGATCACCAAGAGATAATTTGGACTCCGATTGCCATAAACTTATAGTCTACTCGCACTACTCGACAAGCTCTATGCATCCAGGGCTCCTGATCACCAATTCGAACAATGGGTTAAATAAAATTTTACGTGTTTGTTCTAATATTTCCCGAAATACACTAATTCGAAACTCAGGGTATTACATGAACACGATGAATCTACCATTTAGAGTTGCTAGAAAAAACTCAGTCTAGATCTCTTACTCGTAATAATAGGTCTAAATCTCTTCAGTAGGACGAAAACATTAGACTAGAACGAGAACACTGCAGGGTCAGGGGTTCTCCATCTTAGGGCATAGTAACAAACAAATTGTTATAGAAATTAACGTGCAATTCAATTTCCACCCCTGCATACTTTGTGCTTAGTTTTGAAAATTCTAGTAGAAAATAATACTATGAGATAAGCTTTAAGATCCTTCTCAGAGCATGACATGTTAAATAGTTGCTATCTAGAAACAATTGATCTTATAACTGAACAAGCGTTTTGAGAGGGTCTATCATCTCATAGAAACGTTTTTCTCCAAATTCTCACATGCCTGCGTGATCACCAGCCAATCTGTTAAAGTTGTAGCCTAACTGAACAAAGCATGATCAAGGGACAATTTTGAAATGGCTGAGGCGCTGAGCTCACCGGAGCGCTCGAGGAGTGGAAGCAATACAATTGACTACTATATGACTCGTTGCTCCAGATAAGATGTTTTGTCAGTTTGTCTAACTTTGAGTGCAGGGTTAATTCAATGAACGCTGCTATACGTACGATCCCAGCGTCCGACTGATGTCTGACTCTGTTACGACATCAGCAGCACATATCATATTCTGTTAACAAAGTGAGACATTTATCGTCTGAGTGACCGAGCCTTTCATTGTGGTCGTGGTCGTACACGGTAGCCGGACAACAAGGACGTATATAGACCATTTTTCTAATTGAATTCATGTCATTCCAACTTTACCTAATTAGAAAATATCACTATTATTCGTAATGTCGGCTCGGTGCCATTGGCATTTTGTCAAATTTAAACCATGCCATTATATACGTAGGTATTGACGGGGTAATCTATGTCACATGAAGTAATTTTTTTTATGTGAAACAGAAGGGGAGACTCCTACTGTGCTATATATATATATATATATATATATATATATATATATATATATATATATATATACATATACATATATATGTATATAAAACGAAAATGCAGATTTGCACTCGGGTTCACATGTACCTACAATCTACACCGTTGATGTGTTCCAAGATTCATGCTGCAAAATGTAACTAACCTTAACCAAATGAATGCTTACTATAGGTAGAAAAGATTAGGATTAGGTTGGTTCACAATATGTATAACATGTATGTTGCATTTTTTACCAAATAATTTTTTTCAATAATAATCATATATGACATTTATATATCTAGTGCATTGTATTTCTCTAACCCTTATTTTGTTTATAACATGATATTTAGTCAAAATGAGAAAACAATATATTTACTATATCACCAAATTATCATCTTGCAAAAATGATACTTCCGAAATGATATATATCCTACCATCAAAAACTACATAAACAAGGTAATTTGTATAAACAAGGTAAACTACATAAACAAGTTTTGCATACAAATACAAAAATTACATAAACAAGGCATTTTACACTTGTAAAAAATAGTATAACGTAAACATCATCCATGCTACATTTTGTTAGCACCTAATATACTTGCCCTAAGATTCGTGCAAGCTACGTATAGGGTGTAGATTGTGGATACATGTGAACTCGCATGCAAAAATCTAATATATATATATATATATCATGAAGTAATCATGAGTATCCAAATAAACAACTCGAAACCGACTCCAAACAGAAGTTAGCTAGTCAGACCATCAGGATGACCAATCCGACCGCCACCAATACTTCGGTTTGATAGGTGCATACTGCCCAGCTCCATTAAGCCAAAACTTGTTCATCGTCGGAAATACTATTCACCGCAACCCAACCAACCTGACTGGTACATGCACCCCAGTCAGACCAGGCTATCCAAACACAAAGACATCACTTTGCCAATTATCACCAAATATAAAACTAATCATCTCATAAGCCAATTGCTCATCACAAAATAATAGTCAAAAACACACTTTATTTTCACATGTTCAATAAATAAAAACAGACATAATTTGATGGGACAGCCCCTCGCCCCCCCACCAACCCCCTCTTATTATTAACTACGGTTAAACCACATAGTTCAGCCAACAATTTTAACGAAACAATGACACCCATATATACTACACTAAGAGAACCTTAGCTACAAATTTCAAGAGTACAACATCATTGTACATAGTACTCTGCTCTTTCTACGGTAGCATCGTAAACAAAAGGAGAGCTATTAGGAAGATGTAAAGATAACTTGCATCGTGCTAGACAATTAATTACAATTGAAAACAATCATTGCTACACCGCCAAATTGACCAACATAAATCAATAGCTCCAATTACAATCATATTTTTCATGGACTTAGGTACTCTTATAAACAAATTAACAAAAATATTTATGTTATTACGAGGTGGGGGACATTAAAAGCAAAGAACACATGTCTCCAATCAATAGCTCTGCATAACGGAAAGAAACAATAATGTTTGTCTACCCCCAATTTTTTTAGCCAGTTTATCCATCGTTTTGATTACTTTGTTATTAAGGAACCAATTGATTTTTAATAAACCTTTAAATCTCATATAATCCACTTGCCAATCCTAACACTGGAGTTCATGGTTGCGATATATAGAGAGCTCACTGAAAATTATCCATTTTTTTGAAGCGACCATTCAAAGTAATCCTTTTGATTTGCAGGGTTACGCATGTATCTCTAGTTGGATATGTAGGCTGTTTGGGTATCTAGTACCCGTATTCTTCATAGGAGGATATGCCAGATTTATTCTATTGAAATTACACAGCGGAAATTGCTCTTATTATTTTCCAAGGTTTTGTGCAGCCGCTGCTAAACTAGAGAGAGGGATTGGGAATTTTTGCATCAATTGTTCTTGCATTTCCTTGTTATGCCATAGATTGGGAATTTCTTTCATTTCCTTGCAAGGTATTGAGGGGGCAATAGATCCACTCATTTGTGTCGTTGAGCGAATCGACCTATCATAGCGTGTGGTCGTTGACGGCTATTATGTATCAAATTCACGCCGTCAATACCTGCATAAAATGGAAAGCATAAAACATCCCACATAATGGTAGGGTATATTTCTAACATTCTTCACAAGTGTTTGTGTATATTTGGATGCAGGTGACAAACTACCAAAGTTGAGAGAAAATAGACATGAAAAAGGAGGAGAATCAAACTCATATCAAACTTATAGA